GCCCCCCCCCCCCCGCCCGCCCCCCGAAAAAAAAAAGATTAACAAAATTTAACCCAAATTAATGTAGAGATTCTGGAGACGCAGCGTTCGTTGTATTCCGGAGATACAATTTTTGTCAAGCGAGGCCACCAGCCTTTGGTATTTTTTGTAGCTTTAGTTATGTAACGTTTTCCTATTCGTAAGACAATAATTGTATTCATTTAAGGAGCTAGCCTAGCCATTTGCACTTAGCGACATACATTATAAGTAGTCCCTTATTCTTATTAGTAACCCGCATAAATATATCAAAGGACCATGCTACACTTACACCAAAAAATATACCCCATTTGTACACCACAAGTTTGCACAAACATTTCGATGGTTTACACCGACACAAGTGTTGGTGCGTTAATAAAAATTCACACGGACACAAATGTTGGTGCGTTTAACAAAAATTAGTTTTACACCAACACAAAGTATTGGTGCAAAACTGCGGGGTACAAATTGGGGTACAAACCTTGGGGTACACATAGCATAATCCTATATCAAATGCTATTTTGCTTGTTCACCTGATCCATGAAATAATGTTGCTTCCCACAAGTTTTTTTTTATAAATTTAAACTAAGGTTCCTTCGAAGTTGCTTGCATACGTAAATAATATTTTCTCCTGTACTAAAATCCGTCACATTGTACATTCAGAATCATAAAATATGAATTCTCAAGTGCGGAAAAAGATGAATTCACTCTTATCCGAATTTGTATTTGTACACCTTTAGTTGGGTAAATTTTTTGTATGTTATTTACGATGTTTGGTTGGAGTCTGTTTGAAATTAATTTAGTAGTCCGAAGAAAATTAGAGTAGAATTTTTTTTTGAAAAGTAGAGTAGAATTAAAAAACTAAATTTATATATTTAAAAACTAATTAAAAGTTTTACGAAATAACATATGATATGAATATATTATTTTATTAAATGAGTTATGAAATCAATAACCAAAGTGATTAAAATATGATAAGAGTGACATGTTTTTATTTCAAAATATGAGTATTGTATTTGGTATCCTAGGATAATGTAACACTGTATATTGATATTTTACAATTTTTTTGGATAGTTTATTTGGTATGATTGGCATTATAAATCTTATTTTAGAATAAAAATATGAAAGTTCTATCTTGATTCTTTTCTACACATATTCTTTTATTCTCTCTTTTTGAACTTTGACCACGTAAATGTAAAGGCTAAACTCTACCATTGGTCCTTTAACTTTATCAGTTGTGCACGATTAGTCCTTCAAGTTTCAAAAGTCCATAAATAATCCTTCAACTATGTGAGTTCTGCACCATTGGTCCTTCAAGTTTCAAAAGTTCATAAGTAGTCTTTTTGGTACACGTCAGCCCTCCAGATTAAGTTCTTTTGACAATAAATATTAAAAGTTAAACGAAATACTAGTTTCATATAATACAAGTAAATTCCACTAGGTACGACTACTCCGTATTATATAGAGCTAGTATTCCATTTTATCTTTTAACATTTACTGTCAAAAAAACCTCATCTGGAGGGCTGACGTGTACTTGAAAGACCACTTATGCACTTTTAAAACTTGAAGGACCAATCGCGCATAACTCATAAAGTTGAAGGACTATTTATGGACTTTTAAAACTTGAATGACCAATCGTGCATAATTGATAAAGTTGAAGGACTAATGGTGGAGTTTAGCCAAATGTAAACTAGTAACTTAAAATGGGCCGGAGTAGTGGTTTCGTTATTGATTTTGCGTTATTTAAACCATTTTTATCATAATCAGAAAAAAATAAATCATGCCATATCAGCCAATTCTATCCAAAAGTTATCATTGTTAGCCTCTGCCCTCTGGTAAGTTTTGCGAGACACAGCACAATTTGTTACTCCGTATTATTTTAGCACTAGTTTTCTACGCCGTGCTTCGCACGGGCTCGTGATTTATGCTGAGTGTTGTATTCGTTTTTTAAATGTATATTTGAATATTTGATGGACAAAATAGATGAATACTCACAGGCGTAATGTGTTGTTCGAGTAGAAATAATCATTTCTATAAGTTACTTCTCATTTTTTAAAGAACTCTAGATTCAAGATATTGAGTAGTGTTGTAGTTTTATTTTTTAAAAAACAATTTTATTAAAAAAATGTAGAAGAGTGTAGGAACCATGTAGAAGTCCATAAGAAGGAAAAAGAAATAGCAAGAGAGATAGAACTGAAGTCCCTTTGAACTAAAAGAGGAAAAAAGGAAAAGGAAAAAATCCAACATTATAACCAAATTCCAACTCTCGTGTTCCAACGACTACAACACGACAGCGCCAATTATCTCATCCCAAAATAATGAATAAAGGAAAAATTGTCATACAATAGCCAAACAAACCAAAAAACATCCTTAGCAATATTCAAACTTATGAAACTCAAGTGTAGTTCCAACAAAGGACAACCCGGTCAAAATTTGAGTATAGATTTTGGTACCAAGGTGTAGCAAACAACAGTTGTATATACATCCTCCAACTTCATCACCAATAATTTAGGCAAACCTAAGACTCTTCGAAGCAAAGAGAAACAGAATCACACTAAAATAGAAGTTGCACAACCAAACAGAATTAAACTTTTACAGAACTAATACCAAGCTTCCTTTTTTCACATGTTCAATATGTAATATAGATATCATTTGGTTTTTTTCAACTGAGACACTTCTGTACGTTTACTATAAATTGTCGATTTGGGATTGTGATTATTTCTAGACATAAGTATCTAACATTTTGGTACACATTGGGTTTGAAAAAGAGTAAATGAGAAAATGAGTACTTTTCCAGCCAAATGTCATTGATATTGAACTGCCAAGAGACATTATACCTATTTTTACAACATAAACATTTCAGCCTTGAGTTGTGTTTAGAGTAATAATGTTTTGCAACAAAACTAACTTCAATTTCTTCATAAATACATGTAATACTATATGAGAGTAAATTCATTTAAAAGCTAGAATTCAGTTTTGAAAATGAAAAAACACACGTAATTACCACTATTCAAGGGTATCTTCTTCTTTTTCTTTGATTAGCACTTTGGTAAATGCAATTAACAAAGAATCTCATGTAGACCAAATTTTTTTAAGGCAATTGATTTTGAATTATAATTCTTCTATTATGAACTTGAGGCTTTAGAGTTGTGGAGCATTTTCTTGGAATATCAAATATAGGTTAATAAATTTGCAGTTGGGAAGGTGTTTCATTATTCAGTCAGTATAGCATAGACGCTTCTACGAAATCAGTTATTCAATCAATAAGCAAATTAAATTCACCAACCTTAATTCTTTGTATAGCAAATATGCTCCCAACCTCTCAATGGAATAACCCAGCTCTGCAAAAAAAAATGGGAGTGAGAATATCCTTATATATGCTCACACCTGTTTCTCAGGAACATCCTTATATATTACAAACAAAGGAAGAAAATCAACCTAGACAGGTAGAAAATCTCAAATAAATGACAACCTGGGCAGGCGGAAAAACTCAAATAATGATGTATCTTAATTGCGAGTAATTGGGAGGAAATTTACAAACCTGACGTTACACCATTAACTGTAGCGAGGTCGAACTCCTCATGTGAAAAACCAGTAACTCCATTGCAACAGAAATCAGAAGAAACTCAAACGCAAATTATAATTGTGTGTTGGACGCCATCCAGTCAATCCACCTGCCTTTAGATTCAGAGTTATACATCAAAAATGTGGTTTGTTTTTGCCTATTTATTTACCTTCTTTGATGTGTGAGTGATTTGCTTCAAAGGGAGGCATTATATCTTTGCCTTTATTCAACATAGAATTGTGAGTGATAACATGCAAAATTTAAAATTAATATCCCTAAACCAAACCAAACGAATGGGGAACATGGGTCTTTCACGTGTCTATGGAGTATGTTCATGTGTCTATTAATTAAATGGATTTATCTAGAACCTTTAAAGACATACAAAAAGGGTTCTTTGAATGAGCAAACAATGTCCTCCAAGGTTCAAATTAATGAGAAGGTTCCTAAAAAGTATAATGAGTAAATTGCGAAGTCTTGAAATCGGAAGTAAATAAAGAGGAGAATGACAAATTCTAGATTTTGAGATTTTTCTAAATCCAGGGGTTGAAGCAATGCTTCTCATCCCATCTTCTCCCTACACTCTTTATGAACTACTCAATCCATCTCATATCTTTTTTCCCAAATTTCACATTTTTTTTCACTTTTTTTTTAAAAGTTCCACTTTTCACTTGTGAAAATTATTTTGCGGGCCTTATTATAACTTCTCTTCTCTGCATCTTTTTAATTACACAATTTCGTTTTTATAGGATAGAAGGAGTATGACTTCATGATACATTAGAAATTGAATGAATGTAGAAACATTTTAAATCTATATTGATTCGTCTAATTTGTAAATATAGCTACTGCACAAATGGTAAACCAATGGAAAAAGGAAGCATACTTTTAAAACAAAGCATCTATCACAAACTGATGATATCGCAGGCCTAGGAAAACTCAATACTTTATGTGGGAATTTGCAATTCTATTAGGTTTGGGTAACAAAAAATTCTAAATGTATATAAAGGTGCTAGAGCAGGGGCATTAGAATGAAAGCACCATTTTATTCCAAAGACAATAGATTTAAATCAAAACATTGTAGTAGTTCCATAGCAGCTTATACTTTTGTTCAAATGGGTTTAAGATATGGTTTACTTTAAGTTGTATTAGTCTCATGTATATTTAAGGTATACTTGTCTCGTGTATATTTATAATAAATCAAACAATTTAATGCTTTAAGAGTCAAAAGTTTTACAATGATAACTATGCCAAACCTTCAATGTCTCGTTTTCTGGGATTGTCATCCACGGGATCCATTGATTCACTACTGCAGTTGAACTTTCTCCAATGCTACTCATCAACCAAAAGGTATATGTAAATCATACATTAGGCGGGAAAGCATAATTACCGAAGACCAAGCTAAACTGATGACCTGAATCCTATCAGGTTTGAATTCACAGAAACATGTAGTATGAATGTAATAGCTAAATAAAGTCATAGCTCTAAGCAATGTAATGGTTTGTAATCTAAACGAATAAGTAAACTTGTAAAATCTCAGTTGCTCCCATTGATACTTCTTTATGTGAAGCATTAGGTATATGGTTAATAATTGTACTTGAGTTTAATGCAAAACGCATATCTACATGCATTTAGGTTTGGATTTGGGACATTTGTAATCAGCCGCGTGAAGTATATTTAATACTCCCTCTGTCCCTGAGTATTTGTACACTTTTGATTTTTTTGGTAAAATTTGGTAAAAATTTGATGTCAAATTAAACAAAAATGATATCAAATATTAATTAGAAAATAATTTCATTAGATTTCTTATATCAAATATTTTCAAAATATTTTTATCTAATTAACATACAATATATATTATTTAATTATAAGTCAAAGATTGAAAATAATTAACCAAAAAAAGTCAAAGCTGGACAAATACTCAAGGACGGTAGTAAAAAAGAAGATGAAGTTGGTTAAAATGGCATTAAAAAAATCATATCATAAATGAGTAGTAATCAACTTTTAATAAAACTAAAATGGGCACAAAAGTAATTTTATAATTTCAGTTGGAAAGTGTTACTTATCTCAAATACATAATGTACAACTAACTTAGACAAAATAATGAATAAATATTTAATGTGTTGTAATTAACTATACTCCATTTTAAACCACTCTCATAGTGTTGATACATAAGAATTAATATCTTAATAGGTACAAACTTAGAATACCCCCATTTTCTCCTCTATGTGGCATTCAAGCTAAGGTAACAGCAGGTTGCCCTTTTTCTTCTTAGCCTACTCATTGAAAAGAATGAACTTCATTCAACCAGTTTTATATATCTTTGACAGGGAACATATGATTTTTTAATGCAGTGTTTAGATTGATCTTTACAAAATTTACAAAACTTTCAAGTGATCCATCATCATCTCAAGATATTAGACACTCAAAGAATTGAACAATGACTATATCGAATATAAACATGTAGAACAAAACTTAACCATTGTATATAAATATGAAAAAAAGTCATAATAAACAAATGTTTGGTAGCCCATATATACCTTGGTATATGGTGCTGTGACGGGGTTGATTTAGGATCCAGTCCTCGCTACATCTCTTTTGTAGATGCCTTTATAATGTGGCAACATCTAGGAGGAATCTCTGTTATATATGTCGGGAGGAGTAAAAGCAGGGATAGATAAGAAGAATGCATTTTGTTAGTCATGGTCATGTCACTGTGTTTGATAGAAAAATCAACATTGATGAAAGCATAAACAAATGGAGGACTTCCAAAGATGCACTGAGCCAACCTATTTTTACAAAACCATCTAAGACCACAGAAGTATTGCATAACCACAGATGCATCATGCATGTAAGCAGTGATGAAAGCAGTCCTTGTACTCTATGTTAGCTCTGATGCTTAGACAATGGAAATAAACATTAGATGATGCAGTGTTTAGATTATTGTCAAAGTATACATTTGGTCAAAATATATACCTAAGTTGAGACTAAAATAGCCTCATTATTTAGACTATAAAAACCTACATGGTGTGGTCAAAGTATACATTTAGTCAAAATATAGAGCTTAAGTTGAGACTAAAATAGCCTCATTATCTAGACTATTCGCTACGGTGGGGCGTCCCTCGTGCAGGTCACTGATGATGAGCTTAGGTAAATGTGGGGCGCGCACATGCCATGTTGTTCGTGGCAGCATCACGCTTGAGGTCGGCTAAATGTCATTCTTATAATGTTCAAAACCACCTTGAGATGTTCAAAAGCATTCTACCTCAATGGTCCACTCTAAGTAGTTAACATGCACTTTTGATGGGCATGAGCAAAGTGAAAATCAAGTTTGAAGAGAAAAGAAGGTTAATATTGATAATCATATGACTACCACTAAGAGAGGAAGGTATTATAAGAAATTGGAAACCATTCAAGGTCAGGCACAAAAGGAAAAATATCAATTGGCACAAAAATTTAAAAATCAGTGTGTGATATTCTAATTAAACTCACCATTATATGCAGAAGTGCTATTGAAAGATTCAAAAAAATCCTTCTCATTATATGCAAGTCCCCAATGGCTTGGGGTAGGACCTACAATATATATAAGCACATGCTCTCTAATACATGTCCTTCGAGAATACCTGAAGCGTAGCAAGTGAATATTGGTTTATGAAATATTTAGAGCGGATATATTAAGTGCACAATACACTGATTTATATAACCAAGGGGTAGTTACAGAGCAAAACAATGAGCGCGCAATAGCCTTGTATTTGAAAATATAGTCTAATAAATATTTTTTAAAGAAAGAAATGTTATTGAACAAAAGAGAACAAACACGGGAGGACTAAATCCCTCAAGAAAAGTAAAAATTAAAATTAAAACATTCTAAGAGCCAAAAATAAAAGGCTAAGATATAGCTCCAAACCTTGAGCACAAGTTCCCCAAGATGAAATTCAACCACTGTAACGAGGATCACATGCTTACACGCTTCAAAGAGAAACCTCTGGCGTCAGAGGAAACATCATCGCTGTTATCCAAGCTTAAATCAAGATGGAAAGAAAAAGCATTACCATATGAATTGGGCTCAGAAAATTAAAAGGCACTGGAACTCGGCTGGAAAAAACACCTAGTACTTCAATCAGATCTCAATTTGAGAAAACAAACTAAAATAAAAATAAAATTCAGTACAATAATAAACTAATAAATCACATGTTGTCAATAGAAAAAGTAACAGTAATAATCACATGGCCTACTATCCGTCTCGGATTACACTTTCGGGTTGAAAAGTCTTAATACCTTCGAATAGAAAAGATTAGAGTTATGCCAAAATTTAAATTAATGAATGATGAGGAAGAAAAATAATACTTGTACCCCAAGGTGAAAGAACCTGCAAAACAATCAAATCGATGTAGGTATGAATACAAAGAGACCTAAGCTAATACAACACATCCTAGCAACGAAGCAATTGGTAAGTAATTGAAAAGATCTTCATTTTTTCCAGAAATATCCTAAAATTTAATTTGTGCAGGTAAAACAGTTTAAAAATAACAAACCTTAATGGGAGATTGGAGGAGACTGAAGACAAATCCCACGGTCCACTCAGCGACGGAGCATGTCAAGGAGGAGGTCCCTTGGGGAGAACGACCATAGTCTGGCGAGTGAGTAGTCTCGTCTCTACCCCGATGTGGTCCGGCGAAGAAGATGAATCTTTAGGAAGGCGATGAGGAACAAAAGTTGCAGATGCCTAATTTACAAAGTAATAATTGAAGAGGATGATGGAAGATGAAACTATTGAAACGTCTGCATATGGGAAAGAAGAAACGAAGCAAAAATAGAAGTGCAATTCCAGCTGTATAATGATGCCTACGTGTAAGTGCCATGTCACTGGCCACGTGTCAACACCACATGCAAAAAACCCTACTTTATATATATATATATATGATATAAAGTGCAACATAAGATTATATTTGCTGGCTCGAGCATACATGGATTATTTATGTTAATCTTTTCCCTTCAACCAGCATTAAAAAAATATTACCATCTTTGTCCCACTATTTTTTGGAAAATGAGTCTGTGACATGAAAACTACGAAGCAATTTTTGTTAGTTTATTATATTGATGTGAGAGAATAATAAAAAGTAAGAATGATATTGAGATATACAAGAATAGTGGAAAAATAAAACAAATTGTGCACAAATAATTTTAATAAAAAATGAAATTAAAAGAGTATAATACTCCGTATTATCTTGACTTTTCCCAATTTTTTTCTCATTTCTTCAAATTCCTTATAGTTCTCCTAAATCTTTTGACATGGAGTAAATTTTTTTAAATTCCAACTCAAACAAAGAGTCGTACAAAATAAAACTTGCTAAAACAAAAATTGGTACTCCGTTGAAGAAGACTTGGTCCGCCCGAGTATCAAATAGAGTAATGTTATATTGCACACTGAGTTGCAGACCAAAAAATGTTTGGTAGGGCTGAGCAACGGTCGGTTTCGGTTTGAAACCGAAAAAACCGACTTTTTTTTAACATAGTTGAAAATCGATCGAACCGAACCGACCATAAATCAAAACCGACTGAACCGAAACCGAAAACCGCCCATACATCAAAAAAACCGACTGAAAAACCGAATTCTAATTACTTTTATTTTGATTTTTTAATATAAATTCAAGAAACTAATTTGGAAAGGTAGATTGATGTGTATTAAATTAGTTTAAATTAAAACTTTTCTATTGTCATTGATTTAGTAAGGTAGATTAATTTTTTTTTAAATTTACACTATCCATTTCATATAAAAATTGCACTTTTCTTATTAATATGTTCAAAACATTAACAAATAAATTTTTTAAAAGTGAAACATTAAAGTTTTCCATGAAAGAGTAAAAAGAAAGCATGTGTGTTAATCAAATATTTTCTTATTTTAAAAAATAAAAAATAAAGTAAAATAAAATCATCGGTTATTCGGTCGGTTTGGTTTTTCTTACACAAAAACTGAAAACCGACCGAAAAACCGAAAAAACCGAAAATAATTTTTACATTAAAACCGAAACCGAAACCGAACTTCCGGTTATTTCGGTTATCGGTTTTCGGTTTCGCGGTCAGTCCGGTTAATTTGCTCACCCATAAGCGCACATACGGAGTACTCCCTCTCTCCCAATTTATAGTGCCTGTTTCGGTTTACGATGTTTGACTGAAATTATTTTCAATTGAAGTTTGACCTTGTGAATAGTGAATATGCACTATAAATTGGGACGGAGGAAGTAGTATTTTTGTTACTCCCTCCATGAGTTTTTTTTTTCTTATTTTTTGGGCCGACCAAAATATTTTTTTCTCATTTTCTATTTTGACAAATTTTTTTTAAATGAATATGTCATTACACCTTCATTTTTATCTATGCTATTCGATTTATTTCACTACATCGAGGGCAAATAGGAAATTTTTTTACATTTTTTAATTTTTTTTAATTTTTGTGCAAAATCAAACCGGGAAAGTATATATATTTTGGAGAGTAGAAGAAAAATATAGATCAACCATTCTAGATGTTCAACAATTGAGGATGTCAAAACCAATGAGGATGTCAAAGTTTACAGTGAACCTAGGGTCTATGTTACCTACAATAGCTTCAAGTGAACAAGTTAACACTTATTTCCTCCTCAGATGGTACAATTCCAAGAATGTGAGGCACCTTGTACCTTTTAAATTTAATTTATTTACTCCCTGTGTATCTAATTTTATTACAAATTGGGAGTTACGAGATAAAAAAATTTTGTCTTTTGAAATCATTATATTTACAAATTTGTATATATGTCAATGAGAAATAAAAATTACATATTAAAAAGCTACGCCAAAAGTTCTACAAAATGAGAGACGACACGAACATTTTATTTTATTATATATTCAATGAAAACACACAAATAAAATATCGAGAGAAGAGACGTAAGTTGTAAATTATTTCAGGGGAGGGAGTACAATTTAGTATTAAAAAAATGTAACTTACATATTTAAAAACTACATCAAAATTTTACATAATAAGTGACAAAAAGAATATTTTATTTTCTCAAATGATTAATAAATACATGAAAATAAATAAAAGTTATTAAGAGTTTAGAATAGTAACTATATATGAAAATAAATAAAAGAGTAAATGCCCAAAATAGTCCTTTGTAATAAGGTATTTTCCCAATTCAGTTCTCAATAAGTTTTAATTACCTACATGGTCCTCTATAATTGAGATCTATTCCCAAGATAGTCTTTCGTAAATTTTGTTACTCAAATGATGATTAATTGGTAGATATTTTGGTATTTTGATCATCCAAATTTAAAGTATATTCTCGAAACAGTATTTCTGTACAACTAAATGTAAAATTTAAAAAATACATTGACTATAAATAATTCATGAATTTTTTAAAACTTAGAAAAAATCTTTTAAATTTCAAAACAAATGCACATTTTTAATTAGAAAAATCATTTTAGGAAAGCTCTTCATTACAAATGATCATTTTAAGAATTAATTCTAAATTTAGCGGATAAAAAATACCCAAATACCTTCAATTAATCCTCATTTGTGTAACAATATTTACGAAGGACCATCTTGAGAATAAATCTCATTTATAGAGTAGCACATAGGTAACTAAAATTTATTGATGACTGATTTGGAAAAACATCTTATTACAAAGGACTATTTCAGGAATTTACTCTAAATAAAACTAAAGGTATCTCCCCATCAACTACACAAATAATAGGCCTAATTAAAAGGTTATAGATTACAATAACAATAATCTAGTAAGATCCCACAAGAGTAAGATTCTGAGAGCATCTCCAACCATGCTACCATGCTTGTTATATAAATTTGCTATTTTTACATTATAGCAAGTGAATAATAATATAACAATCACTTTTTTGTTTCAATCTCCAACCATAATTTGCTATTTTATTTTTTAAGTATTGACTTGCTAAACTTTGAGGGATTTGTTATATTTAGCAAGACAAAGTCATTTTTTTGCACATTTGCTAAAATAAAGCACACCACTTGGAGAAGGACAAAAGTGCTTAACTAGCTATATTATAACTTTTAGCAAGTTAAAATGCTATGGTTGAAGATGCCCTGAGAGGTTATTGATTAACTTAGTCTATTAAGTACAAAGACTAATAAGGTAAATTTTGGGACTAGGGCTTGAAGATCTAGAATGTGTGATCTCGCCCCGGTACCTTTGCATCAAACATCCTTGAGCTGGGACTCCAAAAAGAAAGATAAAGATCGGGATGAACCTAGAGCTCCGGGAAAGGATAATCAATGTCCTTCAAAGATTTGAGAACATCTTTGCTTGGAGCCCGACAGACATGTCCGAACTTGATGAGGAGGGAATATATGATTTTATGAATAATTAACGTAAGAGTAAGAAGGGAAAAAAAATTTGAAATGTAAGACCATTCCCAGCAATCGAGGTATTTTGAACCTAACGCAAGTGAAATTTTACTTCCAACCTCTGAGTAAAAAGCTCGCTTCCACACGCGTAAAAAAAAAAGGCACCCATGATGATGAGGGAAAAAAGCTTCACACAATCCATACATTCTTATTAATGTGGAAGAGAGAGTTGGGAGTGATACTCACCATTGAGAAGCACTGGGAAAACAGATTTACACTCAAAATAATGATGTTGATGAGAGAGGAAATTAAATGAGAGGAAACTTTTTTTTCAACCACTATTGTGAGTTGAAAAATGCTAGGGGTACACCAAAGGTGTACCCCATTTGTCCCCCACCCCTTCCTGCATCTCATAAATAGACAAAGAACTTAAAACAAAATAAATAATTAAAAATGAAATAAAAATGTGTGGTGGAGAAGGGGGTGGGGGACAAATGGGATACACCTTTGGTGTACCTCTAGCATTGCTCTTGTGAATTTGTGACTTGTGAGTATTTCAAGTATTTTATTTGTCTCAATTTAAATTGTCTGTTTTGGTTTAAAATATTTAAATAACGTTATTTTATTTTATTTAAAAAATAGTATAAAACTAAAAAATTAAAATTACATATTAAAAAACCACATCAAAGAATCTACAAAATTAGTAGTGACATGACTCATATTATTTTATGAAATGACTAACAAAAATAAGAAAGAAAACTAACTAAAACATGTAATTTAATTTTAAACGGAAGAAGTAATAAAAGGAATAGTTTAAATTTTGGTATAGAACAAAACTGTAATTTCTTGCCATATTGCAATCGCTAAAAATACGTGTAAAAGTTATCTACACATGTATGAAAACAAACAAAACAAAATGTCAAAAAGCTTACAACCCACCAGCCGAAAAGAAATGGTTAAGTTATGGATTATTCATAATAATACAAATAATTTTTAAATTATTCACCACAAATGAGACAAGTCATCCAATTATCCGGAGGTGTGGACTGAAATTCAACGTCAACCCTTTGGTGCGCATAAATCGGACGCAACTTGGATAGAAAATTTCAAAGTGGGACCCATGCCAACGTGGACCCGTCTCTTTTCCACCACCCGAAAAATGAACCTGATTTCGCATCCGAACCCGGATCCGCTCCTGGGGTCTTAGACCGGTGGTCTTGCCGAGTCAGATGAGACCAAACCGGCTTCATCCCCCTTCGGTTCTGAACGCCTGAACGACGGCAACCGAACCGACTTCTTCGTCCCGCTGGTCGACGTCTCGCCGCCGTTATCCGCGACCACCTTCGGCGACCTCATCGACGGCCACCTCGAGAAGATCGAAAACCCCCACCGGTCCGATCGAGATTCCCCGTCAAGGCGCTCCATTCTGCGGTAAGACCGGCCGGCCCGGCTACTTCCCTCCCCGCCGGTTCTGTATCCCCTTCTTGAGCTCGCGTTTCTCGGGAAGTGTACGGCTACACTCCTCGCCCGGTTCATCACCTCCTTCCTCACTTCCACCGGCAGCTTTAGCGTGTACCGTTCCAAATCAGCTCCCGGCAAAACCAGGGAGTGCCCGGTCGAGTGCGATCTGAACTTGGTCAGGACTCTGGGCCGCTTGATCGAAAACGACCTCGGCGGCCGGTTGACGCCGCTCGTCTCTCCGTCTTCTTGTTGCGGATGGGGCTCTATGTTTACGGAAACGTCGTCGTTCTGCGGCGGCTGGATGGCGGGTTCCGGTCGTTGATAAACCGGATCGTCGCCCGGTTGGGGAGTGAGGTTGGCTCGGCAAACCGGGCAGGTCACGTGCGACTCGAGCCAGGCGTCGATACACTCCGGGTGGAACACGTGATCGCACTTGGGGATCAAACGCAGCGTCTCGTCGTCCTCGAACTCGTTCAGGCACACCGCGCACTCCAGCGCCCCCTTCCCGATCTTGTGGTCCTTCACCTCCGCGTAGCTGAAGGTGGGGAACGTCTCGATCACCGACGCGTCGAGACCACGCGCCGCCGCGCGCCGCCGCAGGGAGAGCGCCTGCCGCACGCTGTTCCCGGCGGACGACTCGCTGCAGTGGCGGACGTAGATGGAGAAGAACCCCATGAAGAAAAGGGCGGCGACGAGAACCACTATGATGATCGCCATGGAGGGGCTGAAGTTCTTGTACGTGTAGGCTTCGTCGCCCGCCGCCCGAGTTGACGGTTGAGCGGCGGCGCGTGGGGACAGAAGCAGAATAGCGAGGAAGAAGAAGACGATGGAGGGAAGAGAAACGATCCCATGTTTCGCTGCCATGTCACTAGTCGTCCTCTTCCTAGATGATGAAACGATGTCGTTGGTAAGGCCTTCCATGGCACATGTTCTGAATCTGAAATGAATGAAAATTGGAGGAGAGGATCGGAGCGGAAGGCGTTTGTGAGTGTAAAATTGGGGAGTGGGGTATGTATACATATCAGGTTGGGCGACTTTGATTGGATGTTTCGTGGAAGAAGGCCGTGTTTTCAAACTTGGAATTAAGTGAGGTTTACCCACATTTCAATCTAGAATAGATTGACCAAAGTTCTACGCAAGTTTAGGGGGTTTCTCACATCAATTAATTTTTACCTCCTCACCAATTATTTTGCGTCTTTATATATAAATTTTTTAATATAAAATTAGAGAGTTGATTGCTTAGAATCTTGACATGTGGAGCTGTGTTTTTTGACACACATTGGAGTTTTGACTTCTTCTCCTACTTCCACGCAGCCGTCCCCTTCGTCAATTACGATCTTCTTCTCCAAAGGAAAGTATCCGATTGTTTCTCACCAAAATCACGCAGCCCTCTTTTACGCATCTCTTCTTGGAAGATGCCATATCTCTTCATATGATCTACCGCTTAATTGAGATCCAAATTTTCAAAATTGAGATTCAAAGTTGAGATTCAAGATTCAATGTGGAAATATTCATCGGCGTTGCGATCGGTGTTACTTGGTATGTTTTAATTTTCATATTTAATTGTTATTTGTCCCTAATTAAATCTTGCATATTCAATTCATATTCTTCTTCAATATATTGAGTTTTCCTTTAGTTTGAGTCTTGATGTATGGTTTCGTTCACATTTGAGATAATTTATTCCGTATGATTTATAATTTTTGAATTATTTATGGCTTGGTTTATTATCGAAATTATCAAAATTCAGCTTCATGGTCTGGCTTGAAAGTTTTCTTCGATGTAACAATTCTTAAAAACTGGTTTGTTTCATAAGCTCATAACTAATTGTTATTCAATTTGTATTCTTCTTGAATTTTACCTTAATTGATTATGTATCCCTTGATTGAGTGATATGCTTGCTTCTTAAGGGCCTCTTTGCCTAATCTGTTGAAGACTTGAAGTTGTAGATTGAGTTGCTTAATGTTCTAAATTATACTTCAGTATTACTATTATCAAGTTAAAGCTCTGCCCCTTTTTGTCTTTTTTTTTTCTAAAAACAAGATGCCCTTAAAGATGAAAACAATATTTTTGGATTGCTTTATGTATCTTGGAGCTAAATTTCAAGAACTAAGTTATGTCAATGAAAGCTCCATGATTAATTATACATATGAATGTGTTTTCATCAAAAGGTGTTGCACCACTAAACATTGAGAAACATGTAATTTTTATATATTTAAGGTGAAGACATTTGTAATTTGTTTCCCCTGATTACTTTTGGCCAATCTATATTTGAGAAATAAAGTTTGTAAGCTATTTTCTTATTAATATCAAGTATTCTCTTTATCTCAATTTCTTTAATTATAGATCAAAACATAGTTTGATTTTTGGTTCTATTTTTGTCTATTTGTATTCGCACGTCTATTATCTCTTTCATTATTTTCATTACTTTGAGGTCAATCTGAAGAACAAATACTTATGACAAGCCAAACCCTATTCATCACGTAAGGATATTCTGCATTATGATTAGCTCAGTGTTTTAATATTTTTTAAAGGTTCATTTTTCAAATTCAGCTCTTTTCATATGCCAGAAAAGTCAAAAAAAGAATTCTTTGATCAATTTACCAAATAAGTCATTTACTTCCATAAACCAAGAATAGTACAAACTATATCAATCCCCAAAGAATTGCAATCCTTCTTTATTAACAAACAGTTTAACATCTTATTATCAATTTCAGATTTGAACATGGTTTGATGTATGATGCTCTATTTTGGTTAAATGTTCTCATTAAATAAGTTGTCTCATGTTTTCAGCTATATTCCCCTACATTTTTTATGTTTGAAATTTCTATAAAGTTGGTTCTTCATAATCACAATGTAAGTATTTTATTCTCAGTTACTCCTCTCATATTCCTTATTCTTGTATTTGATTCATCCCAACTATTTTTCGTAAATAAATCTTCAATCTTTAGTTTTGAAATTATTTCAGTATCAATAAATCTACTTTTTTTCTTTTAGGAGAAAGGTGGATTTGCTGAGAGTTACATCGAAGTAAGTGCCGTACTTTTTGAGTTTTCCAAATGCTTACATTATATTAAACATTCAATATTTGAACCAGGCAATGAATTAGAATCGAGATTATAGATCTGTTCATATATGTCATTGATGTTCATGCTCAAAACTATTATCTCTTTGAATCAAAACTATTTGTAAAATTTGTTCTATCTAGGACCTAAACAAATGTGTTTTTTCCTAGATAGGAGTTGTATGTTTTTTTTCTTTTTTTAGGAGTTAAATTATAATGCCCACCCTAAAATGCCCCTCAACCCACGCCACCCTATTTTTCCTCCTTTCTAAGTGATAATGATTAGCAATTAACTCCCCATCATTTTAGTTAACTGTTACCCTATTTTTTAGCACACCATTAAATCCATTTCTACGGCTCTTCCCTCGTCTCTCTGCCGCATCTCGCCTCTCCTATCCGTCTCTCACAGTCTTCCCCCTTCCCCTCACAATATGTTTTCTTCATTATTGGTTTCTGTATCCAATTTTGCAGCAGCCACACCTGCGAGCATCCACATTCTCTTGCAATTTGATGGCGAATGGGACGGTAATGGTGTTTTCTCTTACACGCATGCATATGAGATTGACATTCCCATTCACGCCCCATACCAAGACTTGCTGGAGATGATTCGTAATACGGTTCCGTCTTCTTATGGAAATTCTGTTTTTATAATTTTGTATATGTCTAATTGATGATCAAGTTATGTCGCCATTGACGATGATGTGAGCGTTCATGCCTACCTTCGTTTCAAGAGCACCTATCCGTCGATGCGCGACTTTCCTTTGTGCGTTGAATTATGTCATTTTGCAGAAAGAGGTGTTTCAAATGGAGGGTCAGTTCCAATTTAAGTTCAACAGATTTTACTTGGTTATCATTCAAAGTTAAACTCAAATGCCCAGAAAGAAACTGATTCGGACGCATCGGTTCGTGATGTTCTACAACATGAAACCATGCAAACTCTTTGTGAAGACAATATATCTTCTCATTATGCGTTGTCTAAAGAGCTTTTATTTGACACATATCATGGCGATGAGTCTTCAGCGCGTAATGACCATAACGGGGACTTGGTTTGCTGGAATTCTCTTGACTCCAACCCCTCTAGCTATGTGATGTCCTAGCAAGATATTGACTCATTGAAGGAGATGCGTGTTACTTCTCGGTTTGATCCAACCAAGATAGCCGTTGATGCCATATATGCTAGCAAAATGGACCTCGATTTTCATTTAAAGATGCTAGCAATTTCCAACTATTTCCAGTACAGGACCAGGACGCCAAAAAAATTTGAGCTCCATGTTGTGTGTGTGGACTTCCCTCGAAACTAGTAACCTTCATGGATGAATTTTAATATTTATTTTCTTTGCAATATCTTGAGACTAACCAATAAAATTCATCCATAAAGCATATTAGTTTTGATTTTCGGTTCCACCAGGAAGACTAATAATTGAGAGAGGAATAATCATTTCAGTTTTGGGTTTAGAGTTTCAAACTCAACGACGAGTTTGGGAAAGAGTACGAGAGGAGGGAGGAAACTTAATTGAGGAGAGAGAAAAGTATGAATATACAATTTTATCCATGTTTTTAACAAAAACATTAACAAAGTACCATTCGTAAAAATGGTATAATAATTGGAGACTAAAGTAGTAATATTTGATATGTAGAGACTAAATGTGTAAAACGACATGTGACTGGGGACCTTTTATGAAATTTACTCTTTTGAAAACTTCAAAAAATGGGGAATAAAATCAGAAACAAAATAAAACAAAAAATAAAAATGAATGTCCTTTTTGGACATCTCAATTCTAAGAACTTTTTTAGGCATTCTGAAAATTCTTTTTTGCATAAAACTCTTTTTTGCATGTTTCATTTTTCCCATTTCATTTTTCCATATTTTATTTAGGTTTTTCTTTTTGAACTTACCAAAAAAAGTATTCTAGAAAGCAAAAAGTAAGAATATTTAATTTGAAATAGATGAAGTATATGTTAAATTTTTTGTTTTTTTATAAACAAAAAAATTTTAATTTTTTAAAACATTATAAAAATTTGAGTGCCTCATATTATTTTGCCAGAAAACAGCTAGAAAATAATCAGAGGAAGTATGGTCGTAAGAATTTAAAAGTATCAAAACTTTAAAAATAAAAGAGATTTTGGTGTAATTTTTTATAAGAAAATGCTAGGGGTACACCAAAAGTGTACTCCAAACATCCCCCACCCCCTCCATCACCACACAAAAAAGGCAAGAAAATTTTTAAAAAAAAGTAAAAAATAAAAAGAAAATAAAATAAATGGTGTAGAGGCAAGTGGTGTACATTTGGGGTACATCAAAGGTGTACCCCTAGCATATCCCTTTTTTATATCAAGAGGTAGATTTATTTGGTCTGAAATTTTGGGAGATGCCCTACCATTTTCAACACGATTTATAAAAAAAAACTGCCAATAAACTCTCATCATGCGCGGGGCATTATAAACGACGGGCGGCGGCGGTTTCTGTTCATTCAAAACAATGGCTACTCCTCCTCCTCCTCCTCCCATGGAAAACCAGAGGGACAGACTGAGCAACTTACCCGACTCTCTAATCCACACCATCCTTTCCCACCTCGACACCAAATCCGCCGTCCGTACTTTCCTCCTGTCCAAGAAATGGACCCACCACTGGAAATCCTCCCTCCACACCCTCCGCCTCTCCTCCCCTTCCTTCCGCACCAAAAACTCCTTCAAGAGATTCGTCAAATTCGTCCTCGCCAATCGCGACCCCTCCTCCCCTCTCCGCGCCCTAATTCTCTTCAACGAGTCCCGAGACAAGTCCCTCGCCGGCCGAATTCTCCGCTACGCCGTCGCCCACTCCGTCCGGGAAATCGACGTCTTCCGCCACTTGGAGCCCAAGGAACTGGAGCAGATCCTCGGCTGCAAGTCCCTGCGGAGAATCGTCTTCCACAGCATCGAAATCGGGTGTTCCGACTTCTCCGGATGCGCGGATCTGGAAGATCTGTCCCTCACCGGGTGCACATTCTTTCCGGGTCGGGTCACGGTCGGGAATCTGAAGACTCTGACCATATTCGACACTCATTTCCCCTACCACGAATACGGGGATAACGATTTCAAAATATTCTCCCAGAGTTTATCCACCTTCACATTCGGGGGAAAGTGCTCGAGCTTTGCCATGATTCGTCTCAGATTGCCGTCTCCGGTGGTTCTTCTGGACAAGATTGAGCTTCGTCTGATTCAAATATGCTCCGAGGAATCCGACTTCCCAGTCGCCGTGAAGACTCTGCGGTGGATGATCTTCCATTCGAAATCACTTTCCCTTGAGATGAAGGAGAAGAAGAAAGAGTTTAGGGTGAAAACAGAGTTAGTGGGAGATAAACAAGTACGCCTGGCTGTCTTCAATGTGACCACTGCTGAAACTGAGGAGTTCTACTGGAAAGCGGGGGATGAAAACTTTGAACCCTTTTTGTCATCACTTCTACTCAGGTATCAATCTCTTATAAAAATGCTACTGCCTCCGTCTCAAAAAAAGATTACATTTCATTATTTCATTTTATGTACATCCCATCAAACACTAAAAAAAACTTTCAAAATGACTTTTGTCCACAATAAAGGGTAAATGTGGTAATTTTTAGATAATTTAGATGTGGATAGAAGCATTTTTTAGGATGCGCAAAAAAATACTCCCTTCGTCCCAGAGTATTTGTCCACTTTCATTTTTATACACCATCCAATACACTTCTTTAATCCATTTTATCTTGTAATTTCTATATTAAAAAATTATAGAAATTATATATTAATAATTTATATGTTAAGACAAATCAAACAAGATCACACATGACTATATTTAGGCTTACACATTGAGAGAATTTGATGAGTCAAAGTGCTTAGATTAACAGTTCCAAAAATCAAAAGTGGACAAATATAGTGGGACGGAGGTAGTAAAACGTAACCTTTTTTTGGGACGGAGGGAGTATTTTAACTCCAGTATTTGAACTCCAAAATTTAACTTCAGTCACACTATTTCGTGTCTTGAAATGTCGGTAAGACCGTGGTTAAACCTTGAAGTTTAAATGTTGGAGTCAATCAAGCATAATCATCTTATATTGACTATTGCACGTAAATTTTTTACTCCTTCCGTTCCACAAAAGCATTCCCATTTTGATTTTGGGCAAGAATAAGGAAAATGTAATTTTGGTTGACTTTCCAATTTTGCCCCTGATGTGATGGGAAAAAGTAAGATGTGATAGTTTGGTTATTAGTAAAAAAGTATGATGTGATAGGTAGGGTATGAAAAAGTAGGGGTAAAAGTGGTTTTTTTAATAGAAAGTGAAAGTGTTTTGTGGAAAACAAAAAAAAAAAACGAAAAGGGAAGGGTTTTGCGGAACGGAGGTAGAATATGTTTGTATGTTTAGGCTATGGTTCCCCTTCCACTGCTTCTGATTGTCTGTCCCCAGTCACCTGTCCCACGGCTAAGGAGGACTATCGGCCCATTTTTTTCTCTATTTAAATTTCAGTACGGAGTACTATGCTATGAAGTAGGGAGTATTTTAAACCCAACAAATTCCTACAAAAAAAACTTTCTGCAATTAAAGTTTTGTTCTATTGCTCTATCTTTGGTTCAACGAGTTTGTAAGGAAAAAGGAAGAAAAATTGAGAGAGAAAACACCACCTCTTATTTGGTTATGGCGGAAAAAGAAAAAGAAAAATGGAGGCAAAAGAATATGGAAGAAGAAAATGCATTAAGAAAGGAAACTAATTTTCAGTTTTGGAGGGATGAGCAGAGAATTCTAGAAACATGTTTGGTTTTCCAAGTAACTCTTAACTTTCAATCCCAATATGGAAGATCTATTTTTAATCCTAAAATAGGAATTTGCATTTTGATAATCTGAGAGTGCATATATTGACATTTCATAATACTTTTTGTTACTCCGTATTATATATTGACATTATTGGCATTGTAATTCCTATTTTGGCAATAAAAAGGCAATGCTAGAAGTACACTAACATGGAGTACCCTATTTGTAAACCAAGCTAACACAAACTAACACATAATGCACAGACATTATATGTTAGTTCTGTGTTAGCTTAGTGGACAAATGTGGTATCCCATATTGGTTTACCCCTAGATTAAGAGTCTAGCAAGAAAATTTGCATGCATGCAATTACGCAAACCCAATTATTTCTTCATTTAACGGGTGAATTCTGAAAATTAAATGTTTCACTTACTCGTTAATCATGTTTGGCGTATAATATATTAAAATTGCTCGTCTCACTTAAACTTAATTGTAGTTCATTTAGCAATTACTACTACGTATTTAATAATTTTTGTATATTTTTTTTCTGGATTAATTATGCTGCAGGTGTGAGGATCAATACTTGCTTCGAGAGATTAGAAGTTTTTACATGGATCCTGACCCTACTTCCTCGTACGTACATGCACCTAATAATTTCTTCTCTCTCTCTCTCTGTGTGTATATATATATATATATATATATATATATATAGAGTTCATTTATATTACTTTCTTCTTAAAAAAAATTGAAATCTTATTGTGAGCTAATAATGAAACAATAAGATGGAAATGTCTTCTTAATGCACATATGCAGGTCAGAGGATGAAAGCCGCGGCTATATTTATGATGATTACGGTTTGCTATAATAATATTGTCATGATATATCTGACGCTCCGAATGCAAGTTGTTTTTTGGGTCTTGATGACGCTCGCTCGCTCTTTGGATCTTATTTATAGCTACTTCTCTTTTTACTTAAGTAGTATTTTGGCCCGTGCAAGCACGGGATGGAACGATTTTTTTTTGTTGATTTTAGACTTTTTTTACACAATATTTTTAGGAATAAAGAAAATTATCTTTTAAACATAATTTTCAATGCTCCGTACTATAGAGATCAACTCCAAAGTAGAATAAATAATATTTGAGGAATGAAATATGTACACAACAAAGTCTTTTTTAATTCCAAAATTTTTCAAAAATTTCAGGGTAAACTTTTTTTGTATGGTTGCATGAGTTTCTGTTGTCATCTAAAACTAATATTTTTAATTATGCCGTTGTCAGTTATCTTCACGCATGAAACAACATAAAATTAATCATTGGTAAATACAGACTTGGATAAAGATAAGGACAAATTGTCTTTGGCTTTTAATTTGTTAGTAGTCCTAACAAAACATAAGACTATTAGAAACTATTTTCTCTAGAATTTCAAGGGTAGTTCGGGATCAGATGATACCGAATTCATTCAGGATCCCCGACTCAATTACCCAAAATAAATATTGCCACCGATAGCGTTCTTTCACAACACTTCAATGATTAATCTTGCACCATTACAAAATTTAGATGTTTTATTAATGTTCCTCAATAACATAATTGATTCTTCTTTTTTACAAAACTATTTTGTTATTTGGGATCTTTGAACATTTGATTTATTCAAAAACTCAAGTGTTATCAAATGTCATCAACATCTACATTTGCATATGCTTGTCATAAAAAATTAAAACTCAAGTACTCCTTTTTATCATCGCGAATGAGGGTTAGAAAAATTTATTTAACATTTCAACAACTTCGAGAGTGGTGTCAATAATGCCCTGTCCTAAAAAAGAATAGTTTTTCATAATTTTCAATAGGTTCAGATAAGTAAAGTCCACTATACTTTTGAGGGATACCTTGTGTTGAGAATCAAGAATTTGATTTTCTAATCAGAAAAAACTTGTGTATTTCTATCTACGCAAGAAGACGTAGATAAATGCAATTTTATCTACGTCTTCTTGCGTAGATAGAAATACACAAGTTTTTGAATTTAATAGTTTTCTTAATTAAATGGAATTATGTTATATTATATCATGTTAATAAAATATTTTCACTTCATATTATGTTAAAACTAATTAGAGAGAATTAAAATGTCAAAAAAATATTCGTATTAATCACCTCTGAATAACATATTTTCCCTCCAAATGGTTCATTTCTAGACTTTACATCTCTCATCGTGCGATCCTATGTTTGGAAAGCATATTTATTTATTCTACATGATTCATCCCATATGTTTAGACTAACTTGAACGTGTTCGATTATGCTAGGCTATAACTGATGACGATTCCTTTCCATCTTTACCTGTAATATCCATAATAAGATTTTCACTACGAACTTTAATTTGTGTGCGATACATTTTTTTGATAATGTTCTAATAGTTTTTTCATGAAAGGACACTAAATATTTTTCCATTCATCTTTTTTAATTTTCTTTTTAAATTCACTAAAAAAAAATTAATTACAAATACTTTTATAGAGCGGAAAAATAAATGGTATTTTTGATAATTTACTACAAAATTTTCCTGCCAAAATGATATAACGAAAAGTGAGAAAATGACACTTGAGTTGCTATTTTTAAATGATACAACAATTTTATCCGATAAGTCATTACGATTTTTTAAATTTACTTTTATTCTTAATTAAATGGAATTATGTCATCTTTTATCATGTTACATTAATAAATATTTTCAGTTCATCATATTATGTTAAAACTAATGATAGAGAATTAAAATGTCAAAAAACATATTCGAATTTAATGGTAATGCATTCCAGTGGTCACTCATAACAGCTAAGTTAATGATTTTGAAAAAATACCATCTTAAAAGACAGCGGAATATGTACATAGGCAACGATAGAAGGTGTAGGTGGCGTGGAGGATGGCAACGACGATGGAGTATATGACAGCAATGACGAACCGTAGGGTGAGTACAACGACAAGAAAGGACAACACTGGGAAATGTGTAGGCGACGAAGAAAAACAATGGAAAAAATTAGACCGCGTAAGAGAGATAGGCTTTCAGTGGTTAATTTTTTTTCAATCTGCTGAATCGGTTATCAGTAATCATCGATTCAATAGGCTATTAAATTGGTTATGATAATTAACCGATTCAAATTATTAATATCTATTTAATCGGTTATAGGTAATTGTTGGATTGTTTTGCATCTTAATAGGAAATAAATGTACCAACTTTGGACATAATTATTAATAGGTCCACTAATGATTTTAAGCATTAATTAATGGACATGTGTTCTCTTAGAAAAAGATACACATAAATATTTTGATATATTATACGCCAAAAATGGTAGAAGTGTGAATGGGAAATTGATTCTTAAAATTGACCTGCTAAAATAGATGAGTATGGTTGATGCATGCACTTGCATATTTTTATTGAACCAATCTTCTAGTACTTTTATGCAATGTTTAAAATAGTTCATTTTTACGGAGGTAACTGGCCATTAATCTAAAATTATTCAGGACAAAATTTAAACGAAGAGTAGTGTAACAGACGTGTTAATGGCTATAACGCATGATTAATAAGAGCCACTAATGACTATCATAAGTGTGCTTTAATATTATGGTAGAGGTTACAAACTTTTCCTTGCTAGCCTGTTTTGTAGATTTTGTTCACACGCTCTACGTTCCAGTTCTCAGCTTCAGTATAATGCATATAGTTTTCCCAAGCAAGGGTTTTGAAGATCAAAAGTTTTTTTGATTTATTGTTATTAAATTCGAATAAATTATAAATTTGAATTTATTTTTATTTTATTTTATTTTATTCCGGGGCCGTTCATCTTTCCCATCCGTTGTAATCCGTACAATAACTTTCTAACAATCTTAAGGTAATAGCCATATCCCTAAACGATGGCAGGTATGGACGGTTTTGATTTTGACACTCACACCAGAAACGAGAGTAGTTCCGTGACTTTGGTTATGAACGCCTTTGCTCGATTGGATGGCTCTGTTGGGCGGACCACTCTAATCATTGTTCCCTTTAGATCGAGTGCGGCCGTGAAGTCCACTCTAATAATCTCTTTTGATGGACCGAGCGCGGCCATGGGGTCTGCTCCAGTCACTCGGTTTGTTTGAGCGACCGTAGCTACGACCACAATAGTCAACTCCCATGGACGGAATATGGCTATGACCATCCCGGTCAACTCTCTTGGACCGCACGCGGCTTCTGCTGTACCATTCATTTCCTCTTTTAAACCGAACATGTGTACCTTTATACCCGCACCAGTCGGGCATCCTACTGTCACGATGCCTGTGAACTCTGTCAAGGAACCAGCAAAGTTCATGGGTGCTAGCTTCAAAATATGGCTGCAAAGGATAGTGGTTTGGCTATCCACCTTCAACCTTGCGAGGTACTTGAGGGAGGATCCCCCAATTATGGGGAGAAATGCGGATAAGCCAACAATTCAGGTTAGAGGGCATGAGATGCGAATAGTTATCTATGCCTTAACATTATTCTAAATTGTCTGAGCGATGCTGTCAGTTATGGACTATACTATTCAACAAATACCAGGCCAAATATATCGGTGCAAATAATTTCATTGTAGGTAAGGTTCTGGGTTTTAAAGATGGGGGATTTCAAACCCGTGGTCAGCCAAGATCCACATTTTTAATGAGTGTTGTAACACCCCAACTGGTGTAACCCGAACCAAGGAGTTAACAAATCAGGTTGCTACTGAATTGATATTCACAACACAACAATTTAGAAATATTATTTAAAAAACATCCATACACCTAGTTAATTACGAAAAGTTCAGAGTAAAGTCCATCAAGTTTCTGTTTAATTTCTATTGATTACATTATTTATTTGATTAATTTTGTATGGTTTTAGTTATTTTTCTCATTTTCATTATTTTTTATATCTATTTTTTTTCTAAGGTAAGAATAATCTTTAAAAAAAGAAAAAGAAATGGAGGTTTAAAGTAATTCAAAAAATTTAAATAAAAATTTCAAAAAAAATTTAAAAAACAAAAATTCATCAAAAATAATCCCAACTTACATTTTGTTGCCTAAAACGGGCATTTCCGTTAAGCCTCCGTTAGAAACTTAACGGTGACCCAAAACTGGCAAATTTCAATAAAGTTGGGATTATTATGCATCACAGTGAAAGGTGGGATTATTTTTGAAAGACCGGGTAAAGTTGGGATTATTTTGGATAATTTTTCCTTAATTAAATATTCAAAATAGAAATAATGACGTCATCCACGGCGTCACATATCAACGTCCTCCGGGCTGGCCCTCTTGATCCAAATCCCTACCAGCGTGCAGTCAAAGACAACAATACTAAACACTCAGATAGTATCGCATTTATATAATCAGCAATATCAGTGAACTATCAACATTTATTTTCAGATACAAGGATCCAACAATTCCATTCATTTATTCCCAAAGGGCTATTTCTGTCCCTACAACACTAAGGCTAAATTCAACAAACTAGAGTTACGGACACTTGAGCGGATCCCTCAAGGCCGATGCTTAGACAAACCCAAAGAGAATCCTAAATGGGCGGGTTGGAGTGTCTACCAAGGAATCCCTTAGGTACAACAGTGACTCACGTACGTACGTTTTGAACCCTGGACCGCTAGATATGCAAACATGCTCCACAAGCCCTGAATCTAACAACAGTTCTTTTGATGATTAAACTATCCAATTCAGTTCAGATCCACTTAGGTATACTAGGTGGCTAATTTTCAACAGAGTTCTCAAGTGATAACAATCACTTAAGCATTTCCATAAACATAACAACACACTCAACGGCCTATCGGAAGAATCACTTCTCACCGATTACTGTCATGCTCAAACAACAAGATTAACCCCAACAATATTTAAATAACTTACATGTGTCGCAAACTCGAGACTAAGGATTTATCCTCAGGCCCGCTGCACTCGCCGGAACAGTATCAATTTCCACTAAATCAGCCCGACAACCTGCCGGACCGACCCGGCGAACCCGACCCGCTGCCCGAATTGGGCAGCCCCTCACTGCCGGCCCAAACAGCCTGGTCAACCGGCCCGGGCAGCCCCACCAACCGGCCCGGGCAGCCCCGCAACCGGCTTGAACAGTCCAAACGCACCGTTCGCCCAAAAGATCGCACAACAACCCAATTGATCCGATTCGGACCCAATTGGAACCCAATTGCACAAAAACTAACCCAATTGAACCCGAAGTGACCCAACAAATTGAGTCCAATCGAACCAATTGGGTCCAAATTGAACCCGCCGGAGCTGTCTCGTACGTTTGCCGCAGCCACCGCCGGTGAACCGCCAGCAAGTCGCCCGAAAAACAGCCCCCAATCAACCCCCAATTCAACTCAACACATAATTCACAAAAAATTTCAAAATCAACACAAGATTGATACCGTTAGAGTTTATCCCACATTGGAAGTTGAATAGAAAAGTAATCGGTATATAAGGTCTTGAGTTGAACTAAGTAATCGATTGAATTCAATCTTTTAATGTGGTTCAGCCCAGGTGTCTTATTGCCCAATCTAGTTGCCCATACCCCATCCTAAATTCTATCATGGTATCAGAGCAGGTTTTGGCCCACCTCTTTTGTCAAGGTGTCCATCTAGACGTTCATTCCTAGCGGCCCGTTTGTCTTTAGCCCAGTTGTCCGTATGGAGTGTGTACCCAACGACCTGTGGCCTGTTTAACACAATTGCTCGTCTGGAAGGCCATACCCAGCTGCTCGTGGTCTTTAGGTGTTGACGCTAAAAAAAAGTCAAGGGATTGGGAGTTCATTTGCAAGTGGTCAACCAGTAAGATTCAAAATGGCCCGGTTGTCCACTTGAGGGGGAGGGTTAGAGTTTATCCCACATCGGAAGTTGAATAGAAAAGTTATCTGTATATAATGTCTTGAGTTGAACTAAGTAATCGATTGAATACAATCTTTTAATGTGGTTCAGCCCAAGTGTCTTATTGCCCAATCCACTTGTCCCTACCCCATCCTAAATTCTATCATGGTATCAGAGCAGGTTTTGGCCCACCTAGTTTGTCAAGGTGTCCATCTAGACGTTCATTCCTAGTGGCCCGTTTGTCTTTAGCCCAGTTGTCCGTATGGAGTGTGTACCCAACGGCCTGTGGCCTGTTTAACACGATTGCTCGTCTGGAAGGCCATACCCAACGGCTCGTGGTCTTTAGGTGTTGGCGCTGGAAAAAAAGTCAAGGGATTGGGAGTTTATTTGCAAGTGGTCAACCGGTTAGATTCAAAATGGTCCGGTTGTCCACTTGAGGGGGAGTGTTAGAGTTTATCCCACATCGGAAGTTGAATAGAAAATTTATCGGTATATAAGGTCTTGAGTTGAACTAAGTAATCGATTGAATTCAATCTTTTAATGTGGTTCAGCCCAAGTGTCTTATTGCCCAATCCAGTTGTACATACCCCATCCTAAATTCTATCAGATAGAAACAAGATCCTAATCTACAAATTAACGTTAACGATAGATATTTGGGAAAGAAATCATACCTCAAAATGGGAAGAAACTTGAATCGGAGAAAGAGGGTAAGAACCACCGCTGCCTTCGACTCGCGCACACGACGGTGAAAGGAGAGGGACGGTCGCCGGCGCTGGTTGCCTTGGGACGGAGTTCGCCGATGCTGTAGGTCTGCTGGGCAGAGACGGGGGACAGAGCAGAAGGGATTGAAGGATATCTTGAGCAGGGGAAACGCATGGAAAAATGACGGGAGAGAGAGAGACAGCTGCCGGCGCTGGCTCCCTGGGAAGGCGGTCGCCGGTGCCGCTGTGGAGTCGCCGGTCGAGCAGAGCTTGGGCAAGGGAACGATCGAAACAGTTGGGGATTGGGGAAACGGGTGAGAACTGAAATCCGTAAGTTAGTGTCCATTTAAGCCCAATTACCTTATTCGGCAGTCGTATCTTGGGCCCAGTAAGTTTGATTCTCAATCTGTTTGCGCAGTCGGGTTCAGAAAAGTAAGCCCTACAATGTTGGTCAATTCTCATATTAAATACACAAATTATAAAATAATCTTCATATTGAGCGACTCAATAATTAATTAATTATATAAATTAATTAAAAACACTGAGCCGGGTTTCGGGGCGTTACAAGTGTACTGACAGGGGTATGGGAGTTAGTAAGGTATCTCAAGTGGCGGCGATCATTCATGTGTTCTCACCGATTTGGGATGAGTTATGGATCTATCTCAAGTTCAAACGGAAAGAGATGACCTTAGTACAATTTCTTGTTTGTCTCGAGGTCCGCGAGAAGGGTCTGACCCACGAGAAAAAAAGAATTGTTGCTAAGGCTAATGTGGTGGAGCATCCACCAAAGGAGGATTCTTCTAAAGGTCTCAAGAAGGACAAGAAAAAGCTTGGTCCTAAAGAAGGTGTCGGGAAGGCTAAATTCGCAAGGAAATGCTACAGGTGTGGCATTATAGGCCACCGTTCTTCATAGTGTCATAATAAGCCTTAGAAGAAAAAGTAAATGAAGGAAGAGACCCTCTTCTCGGAGCTAGACTCTATGGATCTTTGTGCACATAGGTCAACTTGGCCGGGTCTAACCCGATAGAGTGTTGGGTTGACACCATAGCCACTCGTCATACCTGCGCCTATCGTGCGATGTTATTTGACTTTATTTAAGGAGACTTCTGGCAACAAGGTGTGGATGGGAAACTCTGCCCAATTAGAGGTTCAAGGTGTGGGCAAAGTGAAGCTCAAGATGACGTCTCGCAATGAGCTCACACTGGTGTCAAGCTCACTACTAAACGAACATGGCTTCCACATGGTATATGAGTTTGGCAAGCTGATCTTAATGGACTTTTATAGGGAATATTTATAGCCAAAGGCTATGTTTCTGATGGGCTTTTTAAGCTTAATGTACTCACTGTTGTTGAGAAGATTAATAAAATTCATGTTGCCTATGTGTGCGAGTCTTCCAATTTGTGGCATTGTAGACTAGACCAAGTTAATTATGCATTTCTTTGGAAATTAATTAACATGGAATATATCCCAAAGTTTCACATCGACTTGTCACACAAGTGTTAAATGTGTGTTGAAGCAAAGTCAGCACGAAGTTCGTTTCAAACGATTGAACGAACCACTCAGCCACTATATTTGATTCACACGGATCTGTGTGATTTCAAAACAATGCAATCAATAGGTGGTAACAAATATGTTATCGATCACTTTTATCGATGAGAGCACGAAGTACTGCTATATTTATTTACTTAAAAGTAAAGATGAGGCGTTGGACACTTTCATTCGGTAAAAGAAAGAAGTTGAGAATCAACTCAATCGCAAAATTAAAGCGATTAGGACTTAGGAGTGATAGTAGAGAGAAGTACGAGGCTCCATTTGCCGAGTTTTGTGCACAACATGGATTTGTGCATCAAGTAACACTGTCATACACACATCATTCGAAAGGTGTAGCGGAAAGGAAAATCGAACTCTTAAAGATATGATGAATGCGATGTTAAATAAAATATCGTGAAAGAAACTCGATAACACTCCTTACGAGTTGTGGTACAATAGGAATGTAACGCCCTGAAAACTGGTCTAGAAGTTATTCGCTATTTAAATAAATAAGAATTATTTATTTACAACTTTGTCTTTAAAGAATAGTTAAGATACTTTGGAGATTCTAATTGTCCCACTTTATCCGGACTAATCTGATTGTAATTGTAAAGATCTAAATTAAAAGACTAACCCGTAATAATTAATCAAAAGAATTAAGACGGACCGGAACCTGTGAATAGTTGTTGAACGATTATAAAAGTTATACCCTCAGGTAGGGATCGACGAATCGAATCTAACGATGCAAACAGATCTCAATTCGAAACAAGTTCGCCCGAAAAGTGTGTTTTACTCAGACACGTTATTTTAAATTATGGAGCACAAAACCCTAGAAATATAAATACTCCCTCTTCCGTTTTCTTCTTCTTCTTCGACGAGAACCGCCGCCTCACCCCTCTCCTTCTCCAATCTGTTAATATAATAGACCAACGCTAGAGGGGGGGTGAATAGCGTTTGATCGGAGAAATCGCAGGAATTTAAAAACTAAAAGAGAAGTAAAGAGAAGAGTAAAAGGCACACCGAATTTTACCCTGGTTCACCACAACTTGTGGCTAATCCAGCCTCCCGAGAGACTCTCTCGAGCTACACTACTATCTCGTTAAGCTTGCGGGTGCTTAACAAACCGTTACAACTTGAGAGTTCGAGTCACACGAACCTCAACGAATCCTTCAAAGGAAACAGACCTTCCTTTGAATCAACGAGAGAAATACTTTCTCTCAACGTGTCTAAGAACACAAGTACACTCAAGAACGAGACTCTCTT